CCGGAAACGTTTAAAGGATAATATTGCCCTCATTTTCTAGTCATCCATTCACATTTCACAGTTACGATCGAGTGAGAGAGTAAATGAGCAAATCGAGATCCTCATTTCATCCAAGATGACGAGTTGGAGATCTGCTTCGGCTAGTTTTCCTTTTGCTGCTAACATTCTAGAAATTGGTAACACCAAGTCTCTCAATTCTCTTGCTTTCTTCTCATTTCTCTGTCGCCCTTGTTCTTGTTTCAGTACTCTTACTAGGGGTAGGGGGAGTGCCGAACCTAACAAATCTTTGGGTAAGAAATACAAAGGGAAATATGAATTCGATAAAATTGATGATGCTTTGACTTTGTTTGATCGGATGGTCCGTTTGTATCCCCGTCCCTCCGTGGTGGAGTTTAATCAATTGTTGAGTGCAGTTGTTCTAATGAAAAATTATGCAGCTGTTGTTGCTTTGTGCAAAAGAATGGATTTTGAGGGAGTTACACATAATACTTTCACACTTAGCATCATGATTAATTGCTTTTGCCGTTTGGGTTTGGTGAATTTTGGGTTTTCTATTTTAGGGAAGATGGTAAAGCTTGGTCTTGAGCCTAATGTTGTTACATTCAGCACCTTAATCAACGGGCTCTGTGTACAAGGGAAATTTGCTGAATTAGTGAGAGTATTTGATCAGATGGTTCGGGATGGACATCAACCAAATTTAATTACTTACAACACGATAGTAAATGGTCTGTGTAAACTAGGAAGAACTGGCGACGCTGTTTTATTGTTGCAGAAGATGGTAGAAGGAGGTTTCCAGCCTGACATTGTCACATACAGTACCATCATAGACAGCCTTTGTAAGGATGGGCTAATAACAGAGGCTCTAATCCTCTTCTCTAAAATGAAGGACAAAGGCATTCTTCCAAATGTCTTCACCTATAGTTCCTTGATTCATGCCATGTGTAACTCAGGAATGAGGAAGGAAGCTAAAAATCTATGGGATGAAATGGTTGGTCAGAAAATCAAGCCAAATGTAGTCACTTATGGTATATTAGTAAATGCATTTTCAAAGGAGGGGATGGTTTTGGAGGCTCAAAATGTGGTTGAAACAATGATTCGGCAAGGTCTTCAGCCTAATGTTGTCACATATTCCTCATTGATGGAGGGATATTGTTTGCGAGGCGAAATGGATGAAGCCAAAAAAGTATTTGATTTGATAATTTATAAGGGTTACACACAAGATGTAATTAGTTATAGCACCATGATTGATGGATATTGTAAAGCCAAAATGATAGATGAGGCAATGGAGCTCTTCCATGAAATGTCTCATATGGGATTAGTACCCGATACTGTAACTTACAGCACTCTTATAATGGGAATGTGCAATGTTGGAAGGCTATCGACTGCACATGAACTTTTCAAGAAGATGGTTGTTTGTGGTCAAGTTCCAAACTCGATGACTTATTCAATTTTGCTGGATGGCTTGTGCAAACATGGTCACATTCACAAGGCGCTGGAACTGTTTCAAGCAATGAAAAAAAGCGGATTTCAACCTACAATTGTGCATTACAATGTTCTAATTGATGGCTTGAGTGAAACTGGACAAATTAAAGTTGCCAAGGAATTATTTTCTGGACTTTCTATGAAAGGGTTGCAAGCTACTGTTTACACATATACAATAATGATTAAGGGACTTTGCATAGCTGGGCTACCAGATGAAGCGTATGAATTGTTCAAAAAAATGGAAGAGGATGGCTGCATGGCAAATAGCTGCACTTACAATGTGATGATTCAGGGATTCCTACGAAACAATTATATGTCAAGAGCAAGGCAACTAATTGATGAAATGGTTGGTAATGGATTTTCTGCAGATGTAACTACTGCAGCCATGGTAGTGGATCTATTATTAAGCGATGGCAAAGATCTACTGCCTATCAAAAAAATTGATGCTAGTGAAGTTGATAATTGGGGCAGGTGTAAAGTACTAAAATGACTTAAATAACTTATTCTTTGTTGCTACAGCTATTCTTAACAAATATCTTAGCATATGGAGGAATATGTGGTTTTCTCACTTCCCTATCCTCTTTCTCGTTCTACATAATTGATCTTGTCTGTGCTTTTGCAGCAGAATCCAATCTATAGTTTCCATTTGACTGTCTTGATTTAAGGAATAAAGGGAGCCTAATTAGAGGAACTTCTTTCTCCAGATAAAGTTTACTTGGGGCTTGATATAAATCTTTTTCTTGTGTAGGAAATACATTGCTGGTGGTTCTATATGATTTAACTTTTCTATTATTTTGCATTTGGGGTTCTGCTACTCTTATTAGTAATATTATTATTTTTTTTTGGGGGGGGGGGGGGTGTTGAGGGGGTCGTTTGCTGCTAAATCTTCTATGCAAGTTGTCTTTCTTCTTCTTGCAGCATGTTGTTATTGTTCCCTCATTTTGCTGGAGTTCTGCTTTTGTCATGATGTGCTGCCTCACTTTGCTCTGCAACTTCATTTTTTATTTGCTTTGGATGTTTGCCTTCTAGTTTCTGTGAAAAAAATAACTGCTTTCTGCTGTTTCTAGATAATTTTTGGGGATATTTGAATTGGAGCTTCCTAGAGTGTCCTGGAGGTTCTGCAAGTTATGATTGTTGGAAGTGGACGCTACTGCTATTTTCCAGAAAAATGCTTGGAGCCTATGTGTGATTAAAACTCCTGAGAAATTTTGAGTTATAAGTGTGTGTCATCTGAGTGCTTTATCCCATTGCTGTGTTTTACATTTTATTCTATTAGGATCCATTTTATAAATTGTTGCAGCCATCTCTTTTTGTTCTTTTTGTCTTATAGCATTTAATTGATCATTGCAAGGAAATGATCCCTTGCAATTTCTGCACCTATTTCTTTTATGAATATCTCCTTTTACCTGTTTAATTTGTTATTCTAATAATGAATTTATTTTCAAGAGGGGAATGTACTCTTGACGATGTGTCAGAGAAGTGCTTTTTATCTGCTTTGGCTTCATCTGTCTTAGCTTCTGCTACTCACCTTTTGAAAGAACTTTAAATCTGCTATTTCTCTTGCTTTGTTGCCACTGCTCTCTTGTTTCAGTACACTCTTACTAAAAAGAAAGCCAAATATAAGTTTGATAAAATTGTTGATGTCCTCACTTTGTTTAATTGGATGGTCTGTAACTTATGTGTCTTTTTGTTCAGTTGAGATTTTGATTTTGGACATAGCAAGTATTGAATGAATCTACGTTTCAGATGTGAGAAAAATCCATATGCATATGTTTGTACTCTCGCTTCTTACTTATGGTTGGAAAGACCTTTGTTAGAAACAGCAGATGCCTGCTATGTATGAGTCCTTATTGTTCAGTAGAGATTTGATTTTGGACATAGAAAAGTCGTGAATGAATGCTACGTTTCAAATGTTACCTCGTCACTTTTTCCGCTATAGCATTACCATGTCATTATTTTGAAGGAAAATGCAGCTTTTGTCGT